CCCCCACCTTGAGCAGGAAGCTCATTATGGTGTCGTTGATGGGCACAGCCTTGGCGTCCAGGGAGGCAATCACCACCGCGTCAGTGCGCGGCGCCCCCGTCTTGGGGTTGGGCGCGAGGGGCTGGTACCAGAACCCGCCCAGCTGGAAGCGGTAGCGCGAGCGCGCGTCCGCGCCGTCTGGCAGCTCGACGCCGGGCTGCGGGGGTGCGGGTGGGGGCGCGGGCGGTGGATGGCTGGGGGGCGGTAGCGGTGCGGGGACGCCGGACGTGCGCACCAGTGATGCGAGATTCTGAGGCATCACCTACCGCAGTCTCGCACGCCCGCACACGTGCGCATGTGTGTGAGAAATGCACGCATGCACATGCACATGCACATGCACATGCATTTGTAAACATGCACACACACATATCCCCAGCACGAGCACGCACGCACGAGCACGCACGCACTGGCGCGCAAGCACGCGCACAACCTCCCCTCCCCCCCCGTGCACGTGCGCACGTGCATGTGCAAGCACACGCACTTACATGCATGCACACACACACACGCGCACACACACACACACACGCACACATATGCACACACACACACATACGCACACATACGCACACACAACCGCACGCGCGCGCTCGCTCACCGGCAGGCCGCTGCCCCCCGCGTCAGACAGCGCCACCGCGATGGCCCCCTCAAACGCCAGCATGTCGATGCCGCAGCCGCGAATGAGCACCTCGGGCTCGCGCCAGGGCCAGGGCACCCACAGGGCCAGGTACGCGATGATCTCACCCAGACCCGCGTGCAGCAGCGTCTGATGCGGCGGGTCGGTCAGGGACGCGGTTGGGGCGGCGGTTGCGGGCCGATTGTGATTGGGGTGGGAAGGGAGGGCTGATGGGGGCCGGTGGCCACCCGTGGGTACTGTGAGGCAGCGGCTCGACGGTCGGCCGCAGCTAGGCGCCAAGGGGCCAGGGGCCTGAGTGCGCCGGATGCGGTAGGCAGCCGCGGCCCGCCGCACCTGCATGCAGGCCAGTGAGGGGTTCCACGTCTGCGCCAGGTCGACCTCGCGGCACAGGCACAGCAGGTTCTGGCGGCACGATGCCAGCCAATGGCAACGTAGGACCCCCGGTCAGCGGCGGGCGAGGGGGCGGGGGGGAGAGGGACGGGAGAGAGGGGGAGCGGGAGCGCGTCGGGGGGAGCGCATGCGTGGTGTGCGCTTGGCGCGCATGGCGCCTCTGTGCTTGGCGCCAGGAGGGCGAGCGATCACAAAAGGTTAGCCTGCGTGCGAAGCGGGTCCACAACCTCGGCAACAGCCCTCACACGCTGCACGCCTGCAGGGTCGACACCAACACAGCGCATTCCCGCATCCCACCAGCAGGGGCTCTTCTATGACGCAGTGCGCCCTGATGTGCTGCAGCCCCGCCTGTGTGTCATGGGGATTGTGTAGATCAGGGCTGTCGTGATGAGAAGGACGATGCTTGGGTGCTGACGATGCGGTGGCATGGAACTCCTCAACACCTGCTAGACTGCGAAATCAGGTGAAGAAGCTGGCTGGCAGCAAGCAAGGCGCCGGCCGCAGCATCGGTCTGACTTGAGTTCATGCATGTCGCACCATTGCCATCCGTCAAACCCCAGGCCCACCCTCACTCAACACTGAACCCTGAGCGTGCACCTCCACCACGCGCCCCCCCTTCCCCCACCCACCTGCCGATCGTGGTGGTGCCAGAGCTGCAGGCCCCCAAAAGAGACCTGCCTCCATGCCTTGGACTCCTCAACGGTGGCCTTCAGCATTTCCACCGCCCTGATGTGGCCCATCAGATGGGCCCCGCTGAACAGCTCGCAGCCGCCAAAGCCCGCTGCCTCGCTCGCCACGGGCCGCGAGTCGGGTGACAGCGCGTCACCCGCCAGGGGTACCCAGGGCTGTGGCCGCCGACTGCGCGGGGAGCGCGGCTTTTCCCCGTGCTGCTGCTGCTGCTGCTGCTGCTGCTGCTGCTGCTGCTGCTGCTGCTGCTGCTGCTGCTGCTGCTGCTTTTGCCCAAGCGCCGCCTCCGCCTGCTCCAGGCCGCGCTCCAGGTCGTCGAGGCTGAGGCCCCTGAGCTTGCGCCACATCAGCAGCTCCCCCATGGCCTTGCACACAGGCGCGTCGCCCTGGCATGGTCGCATGCGTCAAGTGTGGGCTGTGCGCTTCTGAACAAAAACACATGCATGACGTAGCCTCAGCCAACGTGCCTGAAACTGCTTCCGAGGGAGGCAACAGTGGCAGCGCTGCCGTGCCACTCGCAACGCCACCAACCGCGATCTATGCAGCCCTGTGCTGCGCCAAAACCCCGGCGCACCTGTTTGTATCTTCGCAGAACATATTGCGGCAGGGTCTCCCCAGCCGCAGCCGCAGCAGCCTCCAGCTTGGCGGCTGCCGCGTGCCAGGCTTCCGACGGGCGTGAGGGGGCCTCGTAAACGGCGGGCGCCGCCGTCGCTGCCGCCGGCGCGTCGGTGCTGAGGCCCTGCCAGGTGCGGAGATGCTGGTGCTGGTGCTGCTGGCGGCGGTGGTGGTGGCCGTCCGGCGCAGAGGGCTCATCGGCCGCCGCAAGCGACTGCGAGGAGCTCTCCCCATCTGATGGCGCATCGGCGTCAAAAAAGCAGTCGAGCGATCCCGAGGCGATGCTCGACTCGGCATCGTGGAAGAACGACGATGCCAGAGAGCGGTACGAGTCACGTCCTAGAGAGCTAGAGCTGCCGCTTTCGCTGGCGGCGCCCGCAGCACTGAGCCGCTCGTGCGCCTGCGCGGCAGGCGGCCTGGTCGGACCATCCTTTTTCTCGGCTTGAGCTGCTGCTGCATGCGCCGCGTGTGCAGAACTGTCGCGTGTCACGGCTGCCTGAATATCATGTGTATAAGCCTTGGCATCGACTGCGCCCTCCTGCACACCGCGGAAGGTTGCTCCGTGATGACCCAAATGTTACAATCTTCGACCAGGCCAGGCTCTTGGGCCCGTGCTGGGGCTCACCTTGGAGTTGAAGCATCCCATACTGACTCCCTAGGTCAATGGCCAAGTGCTGCCAGGCCCTGTCTAGGCTCCACGACCGGAGTGACACGGCGAGTGCTCGTCACGGTTGAAAGCCGGATCCGTGTAATACTATACCCATCACGGTACACATGCTTTAGATCACACTCATAACCTGTCAGCAACGGCAACGAGGCAACAGGCGCCAGGGGAAAGTGAGAAAGGCGGTGTTGCAGCTGCTGCACCCTCCCTCCGAGTCCCTCCTGTATGGTACCTCCCCCGTCCGAGCCACTAAGAAATCAAAGCTCGTCCATATATTTGATAGTGGTTGAGAATCATACTTTGGCCACATATGGGCTATCTGGACTCCACGCTGTGATCTTGAGGCGCCATTTGAATTATGGCGTACTCCTCATTCGGTGTCAAGATTCATGGGGATCGGCATGAACTCCTGTCGCAGTTGGTGACGCGGCTCGTGGGCGTCCAGGTGCGCGTTGGGGATGCGCACCCGGGCAAGTCAGCACCTGCGCGACGCCATCGCTTGAATTGCACCGCCTGCGGACCGGCAGTCCCCCGTTTTCGACGGCTGTGGGGGGCGCTCTTGTAAAGCACGCTCGTCTCTCCATCATACAACTCACTGACTTGCGTAAGTCGTCGCGCGGCACCGCGGCGCCGCCCCGCGCAGGCGAGCGACGAGAACCACGGCGTCGCGCTCGACTTTGCGCTGCAGCACGCCTACTACCACTCCCACGCCGACACCAGCCCCCCCGACGTCGCCCGCTTCTACGATGGGTGCGAAGCCGCGACCGCGCGGCCGCTCGCAGCCGGCTCTCGGGCGTGGCTTGCACGACGACACCACTGCCCCCGCGGCGGCGACGCAGCCGCGCAGCAGAAGCCGACGCATCCCGCAGCCTCCACCAGCCCGCGCTCGCAGCAACGCGCACGCCCCTGAATTTGAATACCACCTGTAAATCAACAACTCCCCGCGCCCCACACACACCCTGTCCCATGCAGCGTCGAGCGCCGGCTGCGCGAGGACTCGCAGGCGCCCAAGGCCGCCGCTCTCCGCGCGCTGCGAATGCGCGCGCTCGGCCTCCCGCCGCCGCCGGACGCCGTCCGGGACCACCCCTGGCCGCTGCTCGGGCTGCTGGCGGCGCTGTCAAGGCGGCCGCTGGACAGCGAATTCAGGGAGACACCTGAGCTTCTGGCGCTGCTGTACAAGCAGGGGCGGCCCGCCGCGGCAGACGGTTGGGGTGGCTACGGCGAAAGCCGCCAGGGGCCGGAAGACGAGGGGGCGGGCGCAGACCAGCAGCGGCCGCGGTGGCGGGTCGTGCGGGCGGGGCCCGCCGGCGCGCGGCGGCGGGCGGCGGCGGCGCCGAGGGGCCTGCGGCGCAGCGGCAGCAGCGGCAGCAGCAGCAGCGGCCTGCGCGGGACGGCAGCCGGCAGCAGCGACGGCGGCAGCCCGGGCAGCGATGGGGAGGTCGACCCTTTCGGCTGCTCGTCTGATCTGTCAGATTGGGGCGAGGACGGCGGCGGCGGCGGCGACGGGGCAGCGGCGGGCGACGATGCACCCTTTTGGACCGAGGGGCGCGGCCAGGACAGCCCCAGTGGCGCAGCGGGCAAGGGTGTAGGCCTGCGCGCCGCTGCCCGCACGGCACCTGCGGACGCGCCCGGGCCCTCGCGCTGGCTGGCCGCCTGCGGGCAGGCGCCGCCGCTCGCGACCGCGCCCGAGCTCGCCGCGCGCCGCGCCGCGGCCGGCCCCGGCGACCTCCTGCACATGCTCGCCGCGGCGCGCCTCGCGGGCCGCGCGCCCTGGCTCGCCCCAGACCCCGCGCACTGCTACCCGCAGCGTGTGCTGGCGGCCGCCGCGCTGGCGGCGCTGCAGGGCGGCCTGGCGGAGGGCTTTGTGGAGGACGCGGCCACCGGCGGCCTGGCGGTGGATCCGCGCGTCACGACGCCGGCGCTGTCGCCGGGCGCGCTGCACGCGCTGCTGTCAGAGTTTGCGGAGGCAGGGACGGCGGCGCGCTCGCTGCTGCGGCTGTCGGCGCGCCTGTGCGGCGGCGGCGCGCCGGCGGGCGCCGGGG